ATCCAGGGAATTGTTACATCCCTGGGAACACAGATCCCAATCCAGGGCTGCATCACAGCCCAGATCCCAACCCAGGGATTTTATTCCCACTGGGGCCGTTCCAGGGGTCCATCCAGTGGGAAAACGGGCGGGAATTGGATTTCAGACCCTTCCCACTGATCCCTTTTCCCTCTTTCCCGCAGTGATCCCGTCAAGAGCTACATCCAGACCCACCCCGCCTGGTACTGGGCTTCCTAGTGAGTATTCCAGCTTTTCCAATGGCTCGGGATGAGCTCTGGGATGAGTGGGAAGCGCCTCCAACTTCCCAGTGAAGGATCAGCCCGAGGGTGTCCGGGGGGAGCTGGGGAAGGGCTCGGAATCCTGGAATGGGAGGGATGATCCCGCAATTCCAGGCTGCTCCTCGGACACTCCCGGGGATGGGGAGTGCCCGGATTCCCTCTGGGAAATGCGATTCCTGAGGTGGGAAGGTGGGAAATCTCCCCTGGATGAGGGGGATGGTCAGGATTCCAAACACTTCCCAACAAAAAAAAAGGGCTCTGGGAACCAGGGATGAAGCCAAAACCTGGGAATTGGTTGCAGAGAACCAGGGAAAAGGGGGATTTTCCCGGGAAACGGTGCAGAATCCCAGGTGGGAGACCTGGAAGTGGGCCTGGGATAATCTGGAGGCTGAATTTTTGGGATTGTTCCCTGGGAAGTTCCAAAAACCGGGGTCAAAGTCAACTCCTGGGAACTGGAAGCAGAAAACCAGGGAAAAGTGGGGATATTCCAGGAACTGGGATGGGAACTGGGATGGGAATGGGATGGGGATGAGATGGGAACTGGAATGGGATGGGAACTGGGATGGGAATGGGATGGGAATGGGACAGGAACTGGAATGGGAATGAGATGGGAATGGGATGGGAATGGGATGGAAACTGGGATGGGAGAGATGGGAATTTCCCCCTCCTCCCTGGCTCGATTTTCCCTCCCTAAATTCCTTCTCCTTCCTGAAAAATTCCTTCTCCCTCCCTAAATTCCTTCTCCTTCCCAAAATTCCTTCTCCTTCCCGAAATTCCAGCGGCGTTTTCTTCCTCACCTACCTGATCCTGGCCTGCTGCTCCGGCCCCAGGTAACCTCTGCCCTTGGGAATTGCAGCTCTGGGAAGGGCAGCAGAACCACATTCCCAGGAATTCCCTGGAATCATCCCTAATTCCCTGGAATAGTTTCCAATTCCCTGGAATGGTCCCTAATTCCGTGGAATAGTCCCAATTCCCTGGAATGATCCCTATTTCCCTGGAATGGTCAATAGTTCCCTGGAATTGTCAGGAATTCCCTGGAATGGTCCCTAATTCCCTGAAATGGTTCCCTAATTCCCAGGAATGGTCCCCAGTGCTCTGGAATCATCCGTCATTCCCTGGAATGGTCCCAAATTCTCTGGAATGGTCCCTAATTCCCTGGAAAGGTCCCCCCTTCCCTGCTGTGCCTCCCAAGCCCAGCATTCCCTGTTCCTTCCCTTCCAGGAGACGCTTCCCATGGAATCTGATCCTGCTCGGAATCTTCGTGAGTGGCAAAATCCGGGAACATCCGGGGGGATCCATCCAAGGGCACACGGGGAATTCCCGTGGAAAACGGGAATCTCCACCTGGGATTGCCCCGGGATTGGGGGTGGGATTGGGATGGGAAAGGCGGGAAAAGGGAGAATCTGGTTGGGGAAAAAATGGGGGAATCAGCACTGGGAGAATGGTGGGAATGGGATGGGAACGGGATGGGAACGGGATGGGAATTGGAGTGGGAATGGGATGGGAACTGGAGTGGGAATGGGATGGAACGGGGATGGGAATGGGATGGGAGTGATGGGAATGGGATTGGAACTGGGATGGAGAGATGGGAAGGGGGTGGGAATGGAATGGGAGAGATGGGAACTGGGATGGGATCTGGATCATGGACTGGGA